CTTTTGCCACGGTTTTTATGGGTTTTTTTTTGAAAGCTTTAAATGGTGCCGTACATAAAAGTACAGGAAAATAAATCAAGGAATTTCTTGAGTTCGTTTCTTTTTTTTTTTTCCCCAAGACATGTCAAGTCCTTCGAGAGCTCTATTCAGGACCAACAAACAATCTCGATGGAAATTTAGAGCCGTGAGTTTTTTTCACGAGGTACTCTTTGGAGGTTGTACGGTATCGTACGGTACAGGGAGTTTATTCATTTGTTTAGATTTCGAAGGGGCAATTTTTTGGCACTCTTTTCTTCGGAGTTCCTTGAAAGGTGGAGGCGCGGGATTCGTGGCGAGTGGCTCCGAAAAATGCCGAGGAAGACCCCGGTGAACTCGCGCGGTAAAGAGAGTCACCTTCGAACTCTCTCAAAGAGGGAAAGCCGAGAGGGCAAACCGTTCATTCGTGTAGGTATATACGCGGCTTCGAGCGCCTGCTCCTGGAATTTACGAGGCAAAGTCGGAACGACGACAATCATTTTTCCACGTTCCACGCCTCGCACCTAACGCGCGTACAGTTACGTGAAAATTCTTATCCGTTCGTCGACCTTAGATTAGCCGGGTCGGCATGGCGACTCGCGGATCTGGGGAAATAATTCCGAACCACCAGATAAAGGACCGGTACTAAAGATCCGCCATTTTGAAATATCCTCCTTCAAGTTTCTCGATTTTTTCCACCCACTATTGCCTATCCTAAACGCTCCCAGGATACAGAATACAGAATTTCGAATCATGAATTTCGTTCCAGTTGACCGATGAGAATCTTAGTTTTAAAGAATGTTCATTGTCGGTGAAAACATTAATATGAAATAAAAAGGATGAACATGTATTAATAGGGGCTGTTATACTGACACTCATTTTTCTGCAAGAAGTGTGTAGCTGAGGAGGAATCATTTTTTCATCAATTTACGGAAGCCAAAGAGCGCTTTGGAGTAGTTTGTACTTCTTGCGAAGTTGAAACTCGGTTTAAATATTGCGCCATGTCGCTATCGGAGTCGGTGAAAAAATATCGGCGCATCCGACTTTCCGGGAAGGGTCGAGTAGAAGGGAAGATAAAAAAGGCGAGGAAACTCGGAATCCTTGTGCGCCGGGAACTGAAATTGCACCTATTAAGCCGTTACACACGGCGCCCGAGTGATAACGAGTCCCTCATTACGGGGAGATATATCGCGCATTGTATCTGGTTAACCACGTGGCGTGGTTTCGGAATGAAAAAGGCATACACCCGACATGCGACGGTAATGACTATTATCCACGGCCTTAACCAGTATTTGCATCATTGCCCGCGCCGCGCGCTGGGCAAGAAAAACCAGCGAAACCTATCGCGAAGCCCGGAAGCCTCCGCGTATCGAAATAAATCGATATCTTCGAAAATATTGACCCAGCGAAAAATCACTACTTACAGAAATCATAGGCAATAAAGGGAGCAATGGAACGCACCGAGCGCATTCTCCGAATTTTCAGGCGTTTAAAATTTCAGAGGGATGTTGTCATTTTTGGGGGCCGAGCAAGAAAGACCAGCGAAACCTATCGCCACGTTAGGGAGCCTCCGCGTATCGAAATAAATCGATATCTTCGAAAATATTGACGCAGCGAAAAATCACTTCTTACAGAAATTGTAGGCAATTAAGGATGCAATGGAACTCACCGCGCGCATTTTGCGAATTTTGAGGCGTTTAAGACGTGGGAGGGATATCGTCACTTTTGGGGGGATTTTGACCATGGAGTGAAGGTTGCATTTCTTTTTTCAAGGAGAACGAATGGTCTGATCGATTTATCGGGTATTATTCTCTATTTGGAGAATATCCAGGTCTCGGCCTATCCCACGGGATCGGTAGCTCGTTCCCAGGGAGTGAATCGGACCGACCTAGACTTTGCGATCGCGATCGGCCTTAAGTATAGAGGGTCGTCGTCGACCAGGAGAAAGAGCACGGGAAATCCGCGGGATTGCATTATCCGACCATATCTGAGCATGAATTATCCCCGCCTTCTTTCCTTGGGTACCCTTTGAACGTAGGCAGGGAATCGCGGGCCTCTTGCGCGGACAAATCGCGTGTCCGCCTTAGAACGCTCTCCTCGCCGCTTACGTGTCCGCCTTTAAGTCGATCCTTCCCAAGATCGACGTCCAGGCTCGACTGTCAACCTCTCGATCTGCTTCTATCCCTCTCCTCCAAGGAAACTCTACTATCGTTACGTTTACGCAGCGACCTTTCGTCGACGGCATTGCGAATAAACTGCTCGCTGAATAAAATCTTCGCAAATTTGATACAAATTAAAATTCATCTTCCGAAACAATGAATGGTAGATGTAATATTTTATATCTAAGGGTAAGGATTGAGTGCGGTCTCGAGAATTCGCAGGTTTATTTAGCGCGCATGTAACGTGAATTAAAATTCATCTTCCGAAACTAGGAGCAGTAGATATTTTCAATGAAGGGGTAAGGAGTGGCCTACAAAGCCGAGAAATCTCGGATAAGTTCTCCGTGGAATAAGTTCGTCACAAAAAAGTTCACATCTATGTGATTTGATAAAAAATTTCTTGAAATTTCTTGAAATCGAGGAGCAAATACGTAATCTACCAAGTGAGGAGTATACGCAGAAAAAATCTGGTTCATTGAACAAAGCCCGTTTAATCGCACTTGTCTAATCTCTATATCAATCATTTATTTTTTTGCGTGCATCGTTGGGTATGAATACCTTACGATTACAAATTGTTTATCGGAATATTTACAAGGAAGGCCTCGATCCAGCTAATCGGTTATTGTCTAATCTCTATATTAATCAGACATTTATATTTTTGCGTGCACCGTTGGGTATGAATACCTTCCGATTACAAATTGTTTATCGGAATATTTACAAGGAAGGCCTCGATCCAGCTAATCGGCTATTGTTTAATCTCTATATTAATCACACATTTATATTTTTGCGTGCACCGTTGGGTATGAATACCTTACGATTACAAATTGTTTATCGGAATATTTACAAGGAAGGCCTCGATCCAGCTAATCGGCTATTGTCTAATCTCTATATTAATCACACATTTATATTTTTGCGTGCACCGTTGGGTATGAATACCTTACGATTACAAATTGTTTATCGGAATATTTACAAGGAAGGCCTCGATCCAGCTAATCGGCTATTGTCTAATCTCTATATTAATCAGACATTTATATTTTTGCGTGCACCGTTGGGTATGAATACCTTCCGATTACAAATTGTGTATCGGAATATTTACAAGGAAGGCCTTGATCCAGCTAATCGGCTATCGACTCCCGATAATGGAGTCGGAAAACCTAATGGAACCGGGTAAACTTATCATTTACGCACCGCTGGTCTCTTGACAAAGACAATGGGGACGCGATAGCCGGCCGATTAGCTAACGGAAAGCGTGCAGATATATCGCGGCCGAGCGGTAACGAGACACGGCCCAATCGAGCTCGGATTTCGCGAGTGTCTCCCCTCTTCGTCCCTCTCTAGGGAGAGCGGTTACGGTGCGTCTTTTTTCCGCAGGATCTGTGGCAATTCGGCGCGGGTGTCACTTCGGCGGACGGTTTTTCGCCGCCCCCTCCACGAGCGGAATTTTCGGGGCGAAGAAGTGCACCTCACGGTACATCCAGTATTTTCCGGGATGGGGGGAGAAAAAAAGGCGACAGGTGGACGGATCGATCGGATTACGATCGCCGGCTTCTTTTTCTCCTTCCTCGAGAATAATTATGCCGCTCCTCCTTTTTCCCCTTTTCGGCGAACCGGATTCCTGCGCAACTCGCGTCTTAATTCTTGAGTCCACTTTTGCCCCCGTCGCCATCTCCCTGGCTTAATTCGTGAGAAATGGGGAGGGAGAGAAAATGAGAAGAGGAGGAAATGGATAGCTCGACTTGAAGAGGCGATGACCGGGACTCGATTATCGAGTTCAGAGGATTTTCTTCGCGTACGAATAGATTTGCACGAAAAATTTGGCATTGTTGCGTCAATTTTGATAAGCTGTTGTCAAAACTGTCAATTTTGTTTACGAGATTTGATCGTATGAACTCAAGAATCGGATCTCTGGTGTCGTCAGCGATTGTCCTGGACCAACAGGCATGATTGGATCTAGCTGTGATCGAAACGATCCTTGAAACGATCCTCCAAGGTCTTCCCAAATGGGGCGAAAAATCGAGGCCTTTGCCGAGACAGTTTTCCGAGGTCAGTCCGATTTTTCGATTGAGAAAACCCGACTCGTTGAGCTTTCTCCGCCGAGGCTCATTTGCTCTCGAAGCAGGACGACTCGACGTTCGGTAATTCCGGGGGATTTTTGTTTCTTAAAAATTATTTTCCAATTTTAATTGAAACTTCTTATGGAACGATAATAGGTATAAATTCGTAAGTTTCGATAAAGGGTCCGATCCAGAAAATAAAACGCTACATTGTCATTTTCCATTCATCTTCATGTGTTAGCATATCGAGACGATTGCGTGAACATCTTTGTTAGCACACTTCGAAAAAATATTCTTTTGACTAATACCAAAGAAGTATTTTGTCAATTCAAAGAATAATTATCTGGCTCAAATAAACTGGAATAAATTGGATGCTGCATTTCTTCGGAATGATGGCAACTTATTCGAGTTTATTTGAGTGAAATAATGATTCTTTGAATGAACAAACCATGTTCTTTGGTTCAATGAACTATTTTCTTTTTCTCATGGCATTGGTGCGTTATTCTCTCGATGGATGATTCTCATTCGAAGCGAGATGAAAATAAAAAAGGCGATTTACCTGTATAAAGGTCACGCACGTGTTTCGTTCGAGGGAACATTTCCGGAACATCGTTTTTCCGACAATTTAACGATACCTCGTTTTCTTGGGAAAGCTCTTTAACGAAGGCGCCGATCGCGAGAGGCGTTGGGTAACGCGATATTAATTCGTGTATGTATGTGCATACTTGTATATAAGTATCTGCATCTCTCTTTCTCCCCTGTTACAGATCGCTCGCGGACGACGGGGAGACGTGCGACGAGCACCAACAATATTATCGGTAAGCGATCGGCCGCACTTCCCAGACCTTCGACGAGTCATCGGCGGCTAATTAACATTTTCTCCGAGTCGATGGACGGCTGTTCGATCAGCTGATCGTGACGTAAGGCGGCGAGAAACGCGGCTCCGGAGGTTTCATCGGCCGATCGGGAAATCGGGGAGATATCTCGGGTATCGGGACGAGCATCCTCCGAGTCCTCGACTCGATCGGGATAAATCGGCCGATTTAAAAGGGGAGCTCCCTCGACGCGTGGCACGCCATTGTACGCGCGGTTCGATCGGTCCGATCGGTCCGATCGGTCCGATCGGTCCGACGTATATTATTGCTCATTGTTACACGAATAACGGTATTGGTTCCTGCTTGTCCCCGAGCGTCCTCCTCGGCACAATGCAAACCGAGCCCGGACAAAGCTCGATCCGAGCCTTACGGGATCGGCTCTTCCCGCCTTTGTGTCGCCATTTTGTTACTCCGTTTAATTCCTACGCGTCCAGTACGTGCCGATCCCGGGGCTCGGAGAAAGTAAGGGAACGTTACCCCGCGTGGGAATAACAATTAAACCATTACGCGGAGGCGCGATCGCCCGTAAATCAGGCGGTAATTTATGTGACTCAAATGGCGAAAAAAAAAAAAAAAATCGCGAATGGAAGATCCGAGGATAGAGTCGATGAATGGGGCCGCGATCCTTGAGTTGTCCGTGAGGGAATTTGGGTCGAGCTCGAGAAGGAATTTTTATCATACTTAGAATCTCCAATTGCCGACCTTAAATGGGTTTCGAGATTTTGTAAAGAAAGCGCCTGAGTAGAAATGATTAGCCTATTTAGAACCTTTAATTGTAGGCCTCGAATGGGACTTGAGATTTTATAAAGAAGGTATAGCTTCTATAGAATCGAGGTTCTACTTTGTACCTTAAGGCGATATGAAAGTGACGGCCGAGAGATCCCGTTTATGAAACTTTTCTCCGAACTGGATACACCAAATGGAAATTTTACCACTTGAATATGAATGTCTTAAACAAAGTTCCGACACCTGTAAAATTTCAGTATCTTTAAATTTGTCTACATTTTTATTTATTTATTACAAAAAGTAAATTTACATGGATAGTAGGATCCCTGTTAGGGTTTCCGTATTCACGTGGTAATAATTGAAACGACTCGATACACCCAGTTCGGAGAAAAGTATCACAAACGATCGAGCTTTCAGTCGCCACTTTCATATCGCGTTAAAAGTGGCAGATATTTCCACTTTTTCCACCTACAAATCTGGAGTGGGACTTAACTCGTATTAAACGGGACGTATAAGGTCGAAAGTAGGATTTCAAGAACTAATAGGACCAAAAGAGGAACTTGAGTTCCGCAGGTCGAAAGTAGGGCTGAAATTTCAACTCGGGTTCTACCTCTACCTTGCTGTGGGATTTTTTTTTAAAATTGTTTCAATGGTCCAATCGGTCCATTGAAATTATTCCTTTTCGGATGTACAGGTGGCGCCAAATTGTCACGGACTGTACGCCCGCTGGCGTACGTGTAGAAAGCATCGCCGATGAGAATATGACCCCGGCGTATCCGGCGAGTAAACTATAGGCGTTGTAGGGGACCCTCGGCGTGGTGGGAGTACCGCAAGGGTCAATCCTCGGTCCACCATTATATTCCTGCAGGAAGACACGAGCCTCCCGAGAGGCCGGGTTCACGGCGATCCTTAACCCTCGGGATTTTCGGTACAAGGCTCCCCGGGGAACCCCGTCTGAATAAATGGGATGCGACCTCACGTGCGTTTCCTCGGGATCCCCTCGACGTCTCCTCGACGGGTTTAACCTTTACCTCGCATTTTCCTCGCCCGTTCCCCTTTTCTCCTAGTCCTCCATATTTTCAAAGATTATCTTCGTGGAATTTTCTTCGTTAGAAATTTTGTTCGCAAACTAGACCAAAGGGGTGAAGGGGGGGTGTCTAAATTTCTGATCATCCTTGTTTCGGGGGCCATCCCACGGGGTACCTAAATTCGTGATCCAAATTATTCTCGGAACGTGGGACTTCACCTGGAGTGTCTAAATTCGTGATCTCAATAATTCTAGGTAGTTGGGGTGTTTAAGTTCCTGATCCTTATCGATCTAGTCAACAGCCTTGGAGTGCCTAAATTCGTGATTCGAATCGCTCTTATCATCAACTGGGTTGCCCAAATCGCGATCCCAATCGTTCTAGTAAAACACACCCGAGGTGTCTAAATTCACAATTCGGATCATCTTTGTTATCAGCTCGAGTTTCTAAATTCGCGGTCTTAATCGTTCCGGTTATCATAGTCGGTGTCTTAATCGATCCGGTTATCACAGCTGGTTGCCTAAATTCGTGATTCGGATCGACCTCGTCGTCACAGCCGAGGTGTCTAAATTCGTGATCGGGGTCGACCTCGTTCGTCATTCGAAGTGCCAAAATTCTCGATCCGGGTCGTTCTCGTTAAGCGGATCATCGGCTGGGGTCGCTGACGCGAGGTCGCCAATGAGGGGTCACGTCGCTCGCAGGGAACCAACGGGTACCTTTTTCCCCTCTTTCTCTCCGCGACTGGCTCGTTTAAAGGAGTGGTACACGGGGCCGATGAAGACACGCGAGTGCCGGCGTGTGTACCGTACCACGGGGAGAGTTCGCCGCATACTCGGCGATCCTTGCGTCGCGACAAGAGCGAACGGCGATTTATTGAAATTCTTAATGGCCGGGAGCGCGGCCGGGTGCATTCGTCCGACTGGTAACGTATCGCGAAGGTGTACCGTACCTCGGGTACCTTTCCGAGCGCCTTTCCTATCCTGATCCATCTTGGGTCGGGTCAGGGATGAGTCGCCCCCGCGTGTAGATTCTCGCGACATATATCTCGCCTTTCTCCGTGAGATTTAGGATTTAAAGAAAAAATCGCACACGTACCGTATAAATTATTTTTCGGTCAGGTCAGGGATGAACCGCCTCCACGTGCAGATTCTCGCGACATTTGTGTCGCCTCGTGCTCTTCTCTGTGAAAATTCGAATTTTGAAAAATAAAAAACGTACGTATACCGTATAAATTATTTTTGGATGAGGTCAGGGATGAGCCGCCTCCGTGTCCACATCCTCGCAACATTTATCTCGCCTCACACTTTTCACTTGGAAAATTCGAAATTTGAAAAAGCAAGTTTTATGAATCGTGAATTATATTTGGTAAAAATTTGAATTTTTAGGGAAAAAAGATCGTACAAATACCGTACCAATCGTACAAATACCGTTCTTGGGTCAGTTGAAGAACGAGCCGCCCCCGCGTGCAGATTCCCTCGACACTTATCTCGTCATGTCTTACCTCGTGGCTTGCGCAAGGTGAGAGACCCACTTTTCCCCGTTTTCCGTTAAAAAAAGGTTAACGAGTTTCGAGGCGGCGACTCTCGACGTCGCCGCCCAATTTAATCTGATTTTTTTTTTTCCAACCTCCTCGAACTTACGCAAGCCGTTCTCCGCGATGACTGTCCGATCGGACAGCTTTCCGCCTTCGCGGCGACGAGGCGGAAAAACGGGAAGAGGCTCGCAACTCTCATTTTTCTTGCCGCCCCCGACACCCCAGGCCGCGGACAGACTTCCGGTGAAATCCGGAGACCCTAGGAGTGATCCGGTAACCGAGATGACCCACTTCCGGTTCCTTTAGAGCTTCTTCGTCTTGCCTTGAGGCTGGTCCCCGGATTAGCAACGGCGAGGCAGCGGTCTTCATCTCGTTAACGGAAACCGTTTTAGCAACCGGCCGATGACTCGAGCCTATACATGTACAGGGGTACAGATACACCTGCGTTAACGCATGTTATCCTCGCGTATGTAGATCTCACTTTTTTTCAGCCTCGATGAAAGTTTTTGTGCACATACTTTTTTTCACCTTTTTTTTCCCTCCACTTACATTAGCCGAGACGAGCTCGCCGTTAAATTCTCCGCGAGATAGGCGATTCGAGGAGGGACCTCGTCCCGTTATCCGCGATCGTTACATCGCAGAGACAACGGTTCGACGGGCGGTAAAACACCCTCGTGATCCCTCGTAGCCGTGTCTTCTTAACGAGCCGAAATGTATCTTGTCATCTCGCGTGTTTCCGGACGAGTCCTCGTCCGAGGATGCGGTATCCTCTTCTCTACGAGACCGACGACTTCCGCGTTCGTCGCGATCGAAGTCCTCCTACGTCGTTTCGAGACAAAAAGGAGACCCGCTTTTAGATGGTATTGTTTGCGTTTGGCGGGAAAATTGAGGGAAAATTTTGGGAAAAAGGGACGAGTTGCGAGCCTTTTCTCTGGGAAATCAATTTTAGCGGTCAGAGATTCAAGGTCCTCCACCTGTTTCGCGATTTTGAGGCAGTGATCCTGCCTTTAGATGGTATCGTTCGCATTTCCGCAGGAAAATGTATGGAAAATTGTAGGAAAAAGGGACCAGTTGCGAGCCTTTTCTATGGGAAATCGATTTTAGCGGTCAGAGATTCAAGCTCCTCCACCTGTTTCACGATTTTGAGGCAGTAATCCTGCCTTTAGATGATACCGTTCGCGTTTCCGCAGGAAAATGCAGGGAAAATTTTGGTTAAAATGACGAATCGCTGATAATTAGTTACATAACCCTATCGCCTCTACGAGACAGACTCCCGCGTTCCTCGATTCGAGGTTTTCACCACCTTCTCGATTTAAGAGAAAATCCTGAATCCTCCTTTTGGCATTTTTGTAACACCACCACGCCTCGCGGGAAAATGGAGGAAAAACTAGGTGAAGAGTGCCAAATCGCGAACTAGTCAAACGGCGCTATCCTTTCTCCTATGAAACATACTTCCGGGTTTTCCGATTCGAGGTCCTCCACCTTCTCGACTTCGGTTCGAAAGGTGAATCCACCTTTCGGCGATTCCGTCTAGGCTTTCCCCGCGGGAAAACGTATAGAAAACTCGAGTCAAAATGACGAGTCGGGTAATTAGTCGTACGTGGGACACGCTCGTCCAGAGGAGGCGTGTCGAGTAACGGCGCCTCCGCTCGAAGGAC